ATAGCTAGTTATTGAGCACTTATTTATTTTAAGCCATCTTTATTTTCATCATATTAAACAACAAGCACTGGTGTTTCTCTGTGTAGAGCAAACTGTGGGTGCACCTCCCTCCTCCCCCTCAGGGTACAACATCAGCAGGCATGCAGTGGGTCCTGAGCCAGCCCCCAAAAGGGGGTAGGAAGGGAGCATCATCCCGCTCCACTTCGGTCCTGCCCGGGTTCTGCTCATGACCCAAACTGCGGCCTCCACTCCTGACTACGGCTCAGCTACTAGCCTTTGCTCTTGGCCTCCGACTCCCTCAGCCCCCACTCTCAGTTGCTAGCTTCTGGCCATAGCCCCAGCCTGACCTGAATACAGTTCTGGGGGAGGGACACAGGCACATTCTATTACTGGTAAGGGGAGAGGGCATGAGAAGAAAAGTTTGAGGAGCACAGGTGTAGAGTGTGGTGATAAGATAGTAGAGCTTCATTAGAGAATCAATGTAAGGCAAGATGTTACCACTAGATGGCAATATTTTCTTATGCCTACCCACTGTTTTCTTAGAGAGCTTGATTTCTTCCAGCGAGTTTTAAATTACCTAATGAGCTGCTTAAAGCTACTGGTATGGAAACATCACAAGATCAAAAGATCAAGTCTTTAATATAACTTTAAAGTCACATTACACGCGATAAAGCATTGACGTTTGTTTTAGAAGCAAATATTTGGTATGTGGCATTTCATGGATCAGAGTATCATAGTGGCGTGACACTGGAAGATATGCCTGAATCTAGTAATATATATTAATGTGCAGTTAATCAAATTAAACTAATGCAAATTTTGTTGTTTGCCGCCTCCTGGTCTCCACAATATTCGTGCTCATGACTGAGTAAAAAAAAAAATCTGTGGGAATATATGATTTAGTTAAATTAATTAAATGTCTAGAGATGTTTTAATATATCAATTTTTTCTCTTTCTGGAATTTGTCTAACTTGATATATATGGCCTGATGCCATACCTCTTATATAGACAAATATATTGAATTTCCATTCAGTTATATAATATCTGAAAGTATAAATTTGTGCTGCCGTTACTTAGCAAATCCTTCTAGATGAAAGCCTTTATTTAATGAAGGAAATATTCTTCTGTGCAGTTTTAGCTCTTGTTTTACAGCAGAATTTCTTATAAATTGCAAAGCTTTAACTAGAGCTGGGAAAAGTGTTTCTACACTAGATTTTTTTTTGGAGGGGTGGGGGGCAAAAATGCAGATTCAGTGACACCAAAATGTTCTAGAAATTGGCATTAACTTTGCTGACTTGTTTCAATTGGAGAAAATTTTGAAAAAAGCTAAAAGTTTTGTTTCAGCATTTTTGAAACACCTTTCATTTCTTTTGTTTTAAAGGACTTTTTATTTCAAAACTTGCTTTACGTTTTAAAGCTTTTGATGACTTAAAGGCATGAAAATTGAAACCGCATTTTGTTTGATCCAAAATGTGTTTTTTCTCATTTTTAATTTGCAAGAAAAAAAAAGAAAGGATTTGGTTTGGTCCCCAAAAAGAGAGCGAGCACACGTGCAAGAACTGTTGTTCAGCCAGTTCTAGATGTAACAGAATAGAATGAACAGAATGCAAATTGAAATGGATGGCTTGCAAGCAGTGAGCGCATTATTTCAGGTAGCATTCATTGACCATTTCTTTTACTCAAAGTTTAGTGTGAATTAATTTTGGTCCCAGGAGGCTGTGATAGTGTTGTGACTGAAATACTTCTCAGGAGTTTTTTGCTCTGTACCAAACTTGCAAAGAAGATGGGTGAAGGCAGAAGGAGAGAGAGAATGCTTATTCAAAAGTCAATTTTGTGTCAACAACATTGTTTCTTACATTGTTGAAAACATTTGCTTTGAATAACAGATTTTCCTCTACCAACCTAATTTAGTTTTATTTTAATAGTAAAATAAAAATTCAGTGATTTAAGAAATTAATCTGTGATGACAGCAAGAAAATCACCATTGTTATGTCACTAAAGAGGAGAAGTGTAATGAGGAAAAACTCTGAAGTACAAAATGTTTTTGTACTTTTGTGATGGAGGCTTGCAAAGTTATGAAATATATGAAAATTCATTGTGTATTGCCCTGGTTTTTAATATCTAGGCTTGCATTTTTGCCCTCAGGTACAAATTGGAGCAAGTGAGCCAGAACAGAAATCTTGTGTTTGGTTAGAGTTCGTTTATGAAAATATTTTGTTTCTATTGAAACCACACTCCCTTTGTACTGACACAGCTGCTCTGACTGGATCACTGTACAGTCCTCGTAGGCCAACAGTATCATTCCTTGTTGTGTGCTTCCAGGATATATTTCAGCCTATTTTATCAAAAGACCCTGAAGAGTTTTAGTTTGAAACTTATACCTGTGTTCATCAGAGCTCTTTCTAGCTAATTCAGCTGAGGTGATCTACTATGATCTAGATTACTAGATAATAACTCCCCCCCCCCCTTTTTTAAGCTAAGTTATTTGATAAAGGGTTTCAGTCTAGTTTGGGTTTAATTTACCACGAGGCCTTTTATTTTTTACAGGTGTATAAAAGACAAAACACAATCATTACAGATGAGATACGGAGGAATTCGTCTCCACTCAGTCTTTTATTTCAATCAGTATTTTAACAAGTGCTCAAATTTTCCTGGCAGTTTAATCTGGAACACGAAGTTGGGAAGAAAAATATCTTCTATAACTTTACAAAAATAAAAATATATTTTTAAAATCCTGGGCTTTAAGCAAATACACTCCAACATTAGCAAGGATGACGTATATATTTCAAAATATAGACTCCTGTCATGTTTTGAACTACAACAGCAGGCACAATGTGTAAACTGTAGTGAAACACACAAAGAGTCTTACTTCTGATCATTTTTTTCCTTTCTGTTACATTTTGTGCTTTGAGAGAAGTTAGTTCAAAAAAAGTGTACAAATGATTTGTACAACAGCTTCTTTTGCTGGTCATATCCGGATACAGTAACTTCTGGACCAGAATGTCACAATGTTGCTACAGAACTCCAGTGTCAAGTTGCACTATTGTGTAAGAAAATGGGTTCAGTCCTTTCACTTCTTAAAAATGTGTGAACCTAAATGATATAAATTACTCTATTCACAGGTCCTCCGTTGTTAAGTTTTAACACGTTAGGCTGACAGGCCATGGAGCCACGTCATTCAAACTATAGACTAGAATATATTTGTATTGTGCCATAGGTGTACATAGTGCTATACAATTTAAAATGAGTTTGATGAATTAGAGAATCAATAACTCGTGCAATTTTCATCTAATTTGCATATGTGACAACTGCATACATCTTGTAGCATACTGACTGCATATTTTACTCAAATTTGAAGATTTGTTCCTATCTCAGCCATTAATAATGAAGATAAACAAATGGGCAACTAATATTTAAAATGGTATACACTGAGTATATGTAAGGCCAGCAGACACTGGTTATCTGTGGGCGGAATCAAACCTAGGATCTCTGGAGCTTTGTACATGAGCCTCTACTGCATGAGTTGGCTATTAACTAAGGCTGTAGAGCAGACTCATTATTCTCTGGTAAATGGGCTTAATGTTACCAGATGGGATAGTATATCACACCTAGAAGGGATGTGGGTTACATATGGACATAGGAAGGCATTTCTTACCTCATCTGGAAAGAAAAAGAAAAAAAAAAAAAAAAAAATGTGCAAAGCACCCTTTTCATTAAATATATACCTGTACCTGGAAATTATATTTCATAGGCAATATAACAAGTGAAACAGAAAAGCCTCAGGTTGAATTCCTATACTTACTCCATACAAAAATGTTCACCAAGTAACTTATTTTTAAACCACGTCTATGGTACTGAAAATATGAATTATACATAGAGATGAATTAAACTTTTGTCCTATTGGCTAGTAGTATAAAGACACTCTCTATGCAAAGCCAAATATTCACAAAATGGCAATTCAATGTACATGCTATTATTTAATCATTTTAGTTTTATATTAGACAGTCACATGGAAAAAAAGACCAGATCACCTCATAAGTTTTTCCTAAAAAGTTCATCGTTAAGTGCTGAGACCAAGCTTGGAAAACGTAAGTGAAGAAGGAAAAAATGTTCAGAAAACATTCTGGGGTATGTGAAACAGGAGTCAATCTGGGAGTCTTAACATATGTTTGATTCCCTGCTGATATTAGACTCAACTGAATTACTTCTCCATTTTAAACTGATGCCCTTCACATGGTGATGTGGAGGGGAGTTCTCCCCTGGGTATGTATGCCTCCTCTCTTCCTAGCACAACCTCCCAAACCTGTGACGCCACAAACTCAGTGTGACCATGTATAGGGGCTTGTTTACTGAAAGGAAGGAGAGGAGGGCTTTGTATTTTCTGCAACACATTCCCTTTGGAGAAATTTCGTCCATCTTTTCAAACGTTCAGCTATTTCTCTGCTCCCTAAGTTAAAAGGAGGAAGCCGTGATTTGGCCCTTGGTATGTACCCTGCTAGAAATCTTTCATTACTTCCTACCTCCTGTCACTTTACAATTCTTCATCTATTTTGGCATGGTTTTTTTAAAAAATGTGTGTTATGGCCCAGCTCCACTGTTTTGTACACCCCTAACAAAATGAAATCTGAGGCAGGAACATTGCATACGGAGAGCATAAAGGGTATAACACTGAGCAAGCTACTAATACTTCTGCAACTTGCATACACTGTGCATACTTGATGGAAAAGATGTTTTTTCCATCATCTGATTTTAAAGGGGGGGGATTGTAACTAAGATACAATGGGAGGCACAAAGCAATTGAATACGTAATATAACTGAATGAGAAAAATACTCATATCCCACTAAACCTTTGGTTGGTTTTACAAGTTAAACAATTATATGTAAAAATAGTTTAAATTACTTTGAATGTTACTTAATTAGAATTTTCTATTTACCTTCTGACTGAAGGACAGTTTATATTTTTTTCTTTTTGTGTAAAACCTGTAAGATTATACTGAGAGAGATCCTTTTGGGATTTCTTTATATGTACATATCTACAGCAGAGTCCTAAAGAATAAAACAAAAGCCAATATCACAGTATTAACACAATACTATACAGAGTGATTCCTGATAAAATCTGATGAGAAACTGAGTGTTAAGGGGAAAATGAGCCACGAAAGCAAAATGGCAGCGCCAACTGAAGCAGGAACTTTAGGTTCACCCTAGCAGTTAAAAAACCCAAATAAGTCTGCAGTCGTAAAGTGCAATTACTGTTGTGCAGTCATGTCAGGCCAGGGATCAGACTGGATGAAGTTCAAAGCAAGAAACATCAAACGAGTGCTGTTCATGATTCAAGGAGGGGAAAAGGAAAAGAACAACAGTTCTCAGGCATTCCAGTGCATCAAGAAAATAAATGTCCTTTTCTTTCTGAAAAGAAAAAAAAACCCTCAGTCGTATGGAATCCTGGTTTTGTAGTCACAAAAAATAGATTTTTTTTTCCTTTCAACTGTGAATGTTCCAATGTGATCCAGTACAAATAAACAGCATCAGAGTAAGCATAAATACACTGGAATCCTTTTTTGGTGCCCTGCTGCTATAGCGGCCTATTTTATTCTCCTCTGCTGATTCTTCAGGTCTTGGTGCTGATGAAGCACACTGAACTAATGGCATCTGATAAGAAGTGGCTCTCTTCTCTGGTCTGTCTGGACTGGATCCATCGCTAGGTCTCTGGCCATTATATAGTAAGTAGCTACCCCTGGCATTCTGCTCCATTTTGAAGATTTCATATTCTGTGTGTGGTAGGCGGATCCCCAAAGCAACACAGCCATTTGTGTGAGTAACATCCTGTTGCACTCCAACTTGCCAGGATCCCTCTGCTCCACACTCATTCCCATTGAAGACATTCAGCAGAGAGGCTGTAGCTATATCCATGGGAGTAACTTTCATGTGATTAACTGTAAAGGAAGAAGAGAGAATTGAGCGTCTCGGGGGAAGAAAGCAAAAAGTGCAGGTGGTTGTCTTATTTTAATATAGCCCTGAATTCAGAGATGCCACAAATAACTTGATTCTCCTCTGTTGGTCAGTTTTAAATACATAGAGAAAAGAAGATGCAATAAAACTTTTCTCAGATGTTACATCTCATGGTAGGGATGTGAGTGGTTAACCAGTGCTGGGAGCAGCTGCCTGCCTCCAGCCTGCCATGGGCTTGGCAGCTCCACCCCAACATGGGGTCTGGGAATGGGAGCCCTGCAGTGTGGGGGCTATTCCAGTCAGGCTAAAGCAGTCCTCCACCTGGGATCCCCTTAGTCGATTAACCTAACATTTAATGGATTAACTGATCAGGATTTTTACATCCCTATTCCATGGGCGGCAAGAGAATTTTGAAAATATACTAGTCTACAAAACTAATGACCTAACAAATTCCAAATGGAAACCTCACATCTCAGAAAATGCAGGTTTCACCATCCCTCATAGACTACCCATATCATTGTATGAATTACAGCTTTAGGTCTGAATCATAGAGGGATACTCTATCCTCTGTCTTAAATAATGGCAGTTTATAATTTCAGATGTAAGAGTCTAACAACTTTCTTCAATTAGGGCTACAATGACCAAATTTCAGTGGAGTTTGTCACTGAGTGTTGATTTTCATCAGAGAGGCTAAAATTTGCTCTGGGGAAGAATGTGGCCCAAAACAAAAATAGAGAATTGAAGTTTTCAGTGGATTAGCATTGACAAATTTCTCCAAAAATAAAAACAAACCCGTCATAACCTTTCAGAAATATAACTTCTGCTGCAGGACATTAACAGTTATGAGTCCAGATTTTTTTAAAAGCTTTTCAAAATTTTCATGTTGTGATTTTATAATCCTATATGTGTTTGGGTGGTCTCACAATCCATATTACTTCCCAAGTCCTACACAAAGATCAACTGAAGAAAACTAACAGTTCACCTTATTTTTCTAGTGCTGCAGTCTCATATGTTCAGTGGCAGATTGAACAATTCATTATAAATAAGCAGAATGGGTGAAATATTGGCCTTACTGAAGTTTTCACTCCATGTAATTGCTTCTAGGTAACCAGCCATGGCTCTGTGTTGCTATTGTGAGCAGAGACTCTGAAAGACTAGAGCAACCCTTAGTCTCCTTAGGAAATTCCAGTCCAACCTGTAAGCTCTTTCAATCAGGCTTTTTTTTCCCTAAGTTGGGGAGTCTAAAAGGACACTGAAGCTTTTTAAATGTGATTTCAAGTTACACTACATGGGGCTGTGAACATGAGTGGTGGGTATGTAAGGCAGAGGAAGGCAGTCCCTTCCCAAACATCCACCTTGGCCACATCCGCATTCCACCCCCCGTCAGCACTGCTCCCCCTGTCTCCTGGAGCTGTCTGGGCTTTTGCCCTGTGCTTCCAGCCTTCCCCGTGCTCCAAGGGGGCCAGACCATGAGCTGCAAGTGTTCCACAGGAGGGTGGGAGGGGGAAAGTACGGGGATGCTACAAGCACGTGCTTGGGGGAGGCTCAGACCATGAGCTGTCCATGCTTGGGGAAGCAGACTGCAAGTCGCCCATGCTTGGGAGAGGGATGGAGTGCACAGGCTGCCTGTACTCTAAGGAGGCTGAGGAAGACTGTAGGCCACCTGTGCTGGGGTGGGAGAGGCTGAGGAAGGTAGCTACTCCTATAGTGCATGGGTTGGTTCCCAGAGGGGGACCACAGTTGGTAGGGCCTTGTGAGGAAGGAGTGGGGCTTGGGGCTTGCCTCCTCCAACCGTAGGTTCGCCCATGCCTGTGAATCTTGCTAGATCTCAAGCTAAGCAGGATAGGTATAGTCAGCGCTTGATGATGAGTGACTTTGTCAATCCTGGGCTGCCTTTTGTCTTAAGATGCTATAGCTACTGATCTCTTGCTGTAAAAAATTCTACAGGATTCTTTGTAAGAGGCTGGTGCTTTCACCACATTGGACCTCTTGGATACTGAATTCTGCCCCATAGGCTCCTATGAGAGATTCTTCACTTAGTGACTGCAGCTGTTTTGTAATTTCGCTGTGCATTATTTTAAAGTCACCACACTCTGCCTCAGAAGGTGCTGTATTTCAGTGTATGAACATGCATGTGAGTGGGGAGGGAGGGTTAGGAGAGAAGTGACCCCTCTCTGTAGTTTGCACATCAGTTTGTTGGCGAAATTCTTGAACTATATGAATTTTGAATCCTTTTTTCTTGGCAACTTTCCCCCAGGAAGGAACAATTCCATCTTTTACTTGGTAACCGAACATGAGTGTGCAACGTTGTGACCTTACCTTTGAAGACAAACTCTGTTCCTCCCATCACTTTGGAAGAGTGCACGCCTCTGCTGTAGCGCCCCTTGGCATAGATGGTAAAGGTGGGGTGCTTACAGATGGGGTCAGAGTAGTGGTAGTAGTGACCCTCCCAGGTGTTATTGTTATCATGGAAGATGAAGTGCCGGGTGAGAAAGAGGACTTCAGGACGCACTTCGCAGCGCTGGCTCACCCACTCTCCATGCAATCCAATAGTCAAATCGGCCTTTGGAGGTAAGATTGGAGGATGGTGCTCATCTGACCGGTAAATGATTCGACATGCTATACAGGAGTGATCATGATTCTGAAACAAAGTGGAGAAAAACCCTGTTAAGACATTCTCCTCGAGGAAGACCATGATGTTAGTGGCCTACTGAGGTGAAATCAACCTCACCTCTAAGGATTTAAAATGTTTTCCTCAGATTGGCTACATTCTACAGCAATACCATATGTCAAAGTGAGGTACCTGGAATATAGAGCACATAGCATATTGTGCATCAGGGAGATGGCTAACCTAGTCATTTCTTCTTCTGGGTTTACCTTCAACAAATATTTTGCTTCAGATATATGTTTTATTTTGAAGGGAAAAAACACACTGAATCTATAATGATAGGAGAATGGCTAACTTACAAAAGTAGGTGTCTTTAAAATCTGCTCTTAATTTAATTACAAAACACATTTGTTCAGCTCTGACTTGTACTTATTACATCTTTTTAATTATTAACTTTGTATACTGTGGACATATCCACCCTCCTAACTTTTTTAAGTTGGCTAGCAGTCTGGACATTTAATACCCTGCTATTTAAACTTTTGAAGATGTAGTAAGCTGGAGTGTAAAATATCAACACATCGATATTTCATTTCCAGTGATATCTGAATGAAGGGTCTCTATCAGTTTTCCTCTCAATGACATGCACGCATCTCCACTCACTTCAGTGGAGTTGCATACGTGTGTGCAAGCCAAAGTTTGCCCCTAAACTTAAGAATGAAACATCAAATTTCTCCTGTGTTTTACTAATAAAACACCATAGATGATTAAACTGAGAAAATAGTTGTCTGTTGATTTACTACTTGCTTTTCACTCATTTGGACAATCAGTCTCTATGGATAAAATTTCCATCTTTGAACTATAAGAATATAGCAGGTGAAATATGCCACCAACCACTTCACCAGTCTGATGCTGGTGACTGTGAAATGTTCAAGGAGATTAAAGAAACTACACAAACTGGAAACACAATAATAATAAAAAATTTCAAATACTCCCATGTTGACTGGGAATATGTCACCTCAGGATTATTTGTAGAGAAAATATATTTAGACTCCATTAATGACTATTTCTTGGACCAGCCAGTTCTGGAACTCTCAACGGGAGAGCAATTCTTGATTTAGTTGTAAGCAGAGCACAGGATCTGGTCCAAGAGGTGAATATATACCTGAACCACCCAGTAAGAGCAATCATAATGTAATTACATTTAATATCCTTGTAGAGGGCAAAATACAGAAGAAACACACCACAGTAGTTTTTAACTACAGAAAGGAGAACACTACAGAAATGAAAACACACCAGTTACACAGATATTAAAAGGAAGAGTGACCAAGAATGAAATGCCTGCAAACTATTTAAAATACCACAATAGAGGCTCAAATGAAATATATGCCCCAAAATAAAAAAAACCTGAGGACTCAAATTATCATCAGGACTAAATAGCAGAATAACAGAAAAAAGGTATTCTTTAAAAACTAGAAATCAAATACTGTTCATTCCATCTGAAGCATTTGGCATTGGCCACTGCCAGAAGACAGGATACTCAGAGATGGACTGGTCTGTTCCAATATGGCCGTATGCAGTGGTGGTGGTAGTGGTGTGTTGGTCCCATGCTAGTAGACACACAAGATAGGTGAGGTGATCTCTATTATTGGGCTATCTTTTGTTGGTGAAAGAGACAGGGTTTTGAACTAACACAGAGCTCTTCTTCAGATGTTGGACCAATAAAAGATATGTTTACCCCCTGCCTCCTTTTATGGCCTTGTGTCACTTTCTGGTTCTTGTGTATTGGACAAAGTTGTGACATCTGGGTCAACATGTTTACACTGAATCAATATGTTTTCACTGTTATAAAAACATCAAGAAAACATTTCTAATGGATTTTTAAACTGCTCCCATTCTTGGCCAAGACTATCTGACGTTATCCTTTTTATAATGCAAGCATCTAATTCAGTAAGGGCATATTTCAGTGCCATTACAATCAGCGAGCGGTATACAATTGATTGCAATGGGAAAGTTTTGGCTTGTTTATCTAAAAGGGCCTGATGATGTGAGGTGTGAAGCACTGCCATTGATTCCCCCTGGCGACGAGGCCATTTAATCTTCTGCAAGATTCAGCTTTGTATGAACATCGGGGGTGTTTTTCTGAACTGGGGGCCCACCAGACTCTCCACTGTGCTATGGCCCATCCCCCAGAGGGACTTGGGGAGGCAACCTTATTGCTGTCTTCCTCAGCTCCTGTATTGGACAATACCCCCCTCCCCTTAAAGCCAGCTGCCATGCTTTTAGAGACTCTTCTGTGCTGCTCTATACTTTTTACCTGACATCTGGGTGTGGTTTTGTATTATAAATAATTTGCTTAAGGCTTTTCACAGAAACTAAAGTGTCTGTGTGTCAGGGTGGAGAGAGTCTCAGTTCTCTTTCTAATGGATAAGTGTTGACACAACGACCAAACCATTACATATCCGGTGCATTTTGGTATGGGGTGTAATGTGTTGGGTGAGCAGTAATTAAACTAACATGCAGAATGAGCCTTCTGTTGATGTCAGGTTCAAGGTCTCTAGCAGGGAGGAATTCTATTTCCAAGGCTCCTGGTCCTCTAACATTGGATATTTATGTAGCTTCCAGCACTAATTGGTTGGGACTTTACAAAGGTAGGTTGGGTTTTTTTTTGTTTCTATGGGAAAATGTGTTCCAAGTTCCAAACAAACAACTTACAAACTTTTGGAACACAACCTGCTCCTAAGGTGGGGATTTCTTATACACAGCTGCAAGAGCAACTGTTTCTGCTTTGCTAAGCAAACTTCGAGCCACAGTTTATTGAAGGATAAACCATGAAACACTTTTATTAAGCTAACATGATTTGTCAATAAATAATTAAATTAAGCAGAACAACTAGAGTCCTGTTAGATAAAAGCAAAATTTTCTGGTATTACTAACTCTAGTATATTTGCTACAAACTGTTTGTTTACAAATATCATCTTTGGATCTGATGGGAGAACGTCTATAAAGGGCTTTTGAAATACAGAATGTGTGATTGGTGCTTTACGCTAGATTGAAAAAAAAAACTTGTCTAGTTAGAGGGAAAAGTAAAGAACATACAGTCTTATGCCATTTTCCCCTTTCATGGACTATGTCCATATAAATACAGAGAAATGTCACTAAGTAATTCTATTGAGCCAGTGGAGGTGCTAAAGATTTGCCCGAGTGTAAATGAGAACAGAACTTGGTCTGGAATATTTAGCTAACATGAATGTTAAAAATGCACCAATAAAGTGTTGCATTTTCTGAGTTTTGAGGGTTTCATTTGGAGTTTGTTGGCTGGTCCAATGGTTCAGTTGTTAGCTAGCACTCAGGAGACCAGACAGAGCTCAATTCCTGTCTCTGCCACAGGCTGCCTGTGTGACCTTGAAGAAAACAAAACCACCAACGAAACCCAGACTCTGTGCCTCAGTTCCCTTACATGCAAAATGTGCATTCTCTGCCTAGCACTGTAGTGAGAGTAACTGTTAAAGATTATGCAGAGTTCAGATACTAAGGTGATGGAATCCTATTCCTGAGGGCAATCTGCTCCAAACACTTAAAAGTTCTCTGCTAAGAGAAAATTCTGAGTTCTGGATGCAGGGGGTGGATCTGGATGCATGGTAGTTTGTTGGGAGTTCTGGGTGCAATGGCAATAGGAGTCTGCAGGGAGGTCCAGATGAAATGGGGCTCAGTGCGTGTGGGAGTCAGTGTCCGGGGGAATAGAGCTCAGGAGGAGCTGGGCGTCTCCAAGCTGTCAGTCCAGCACCTTTCACAAACATTAATTCACGTGATGATGATCAAAAATATTAGCCCACAAGCAACTCTGGACCATAAATATTAAAGTAAATCAGAAAGTTTTCTACAGAAGACAGATGAGTTTAATAAATCCCAAGTAACCTGAAGATGAAACACCTAGCAATGTTTTATGATAGGGCTGAGGAAGGAGGTAACAAAAGTTTTTTCAGCTTTTGTAGTAGGGTTTGTTTGTGAGCAGGACTGTAATACAAAGATTCTAATCTTTCTTTTAACTTATTCTGGCTGCTACATAGTGGGAGCTCTACTGAAAATATAGCTCCTCTGACCCCACATAATCCAGTTTCTGCTTCCTTCTGGCTTTGACTTGAAAATCCTTTAAGAGAGTGATGAATTTTTGAATAGGAAGTATATACTTATACACCCTCCAAAGTCCTTGAAAATGTAGCTTTTGTCTAATTAATGGAAGAAAGATTTTGTTTTTGTTTATAAAGTGAATGGACCTAATTATGGAGTAATATTTATTTTTGAGGGTGGCTTTTTTGTTTTTCAATGTTGCTTTCTTTTCTAGGCCAGTTGCTTTTGGCTGTAAATCACACTGCTTAAGGCCCTGTAAATCACTCCTTTTCCATAGGTCTTAAGCAAGGGTAATAGGATCTAGTTTCTAAACATAGTTAAAGAAAACAGAACAGTGGCAAAAAGCATTTGCTGCTATTCTCCAAGCACAACTGCAATAACTTCTAATAAACTCGCAAGCACGAAGTCAGATAAAATGCTGTAAAATGAGCTGTGGTTATGATGGCTCCCCGTCCTTACTTTACAAAAAAAATGTAAGATTCTTTATGGAGCTATGGGGCTTTTTCCTGTTGTGAAAGGGGGCTTTCCCTTTGCAAGTAGCTGCATAATACTGACTCCATGGTTGCCCAAATTTTCTGTTCTTGGTGATTCTTCTGAGTCAGACTAAAAGGCCATGTAGACTACTGGCTGCCTAGCTGACAGACCTGTTCAGGAGCTGAGGGACATAAGAGGTTCTCAGTGATTTTGAAGATTTCCACCAAGCCCAAGATTTGGTGGTGATGGGGGACTTCAACTATCCAGACATATGTTGGGAAACTAACACAGCGGGGCACAGGCTATCCAATAAGTTTCTGGACTGCATTGGAGACAACTTTCTGTTTCAGAAGGTTGAAAAAGCTACCAGAGGAGAAGCTGTTCTGGATTTGATTTTAACAAATAGGGAGGAACTAGTTGAGAACTTGAAA